ATTGTTTTTGCTAAAAAAAAAGTCACTGAGAACATTCGTCTCCCTTCCAACGCCCTCCACCATTTTTCCTCTTTCCCCACCCCGTCCTCGCTCATTCTCCTGCGTCCCTCGGTCTTACCCCCGTAAAGCCTAGAAAAAGAGCAAGAAGACAGTAAAGAATGAGAGCAAAGTAACGAGAGCAATAAAAACTGTTGAATGTTTGAGAATTTTTGCCTTATTACGCCATAAAGGAGTGAAAATGTTGCTGGGGGAAAAGAGGGAAATTTACCTGCATACGGATGGAGCTATCGGAATAAAACAGTAGCAGAAGCACTAGATGCCCAATCTGAGCGATGTAAAGACATTGAAGCCGCCGATGGGAGACAGACATAAAGGATACATGCAACTTGCACTGTATTTCTGTTTTTACGAATTCTGGACGGGGACAATGGCTCGTCCGGTCGCTGAAATTAGATATACCCCAAATTTATCAGTGGCATAAAAATAAATAAACAGTTTGTCGATGGGAACAATAAATTCCCTTGAAGTGTAAGTTTCATCGCTAAATTCAGCTGAAATCAAAAAGAAATGGTCCCAGTAATACGTAAAAGTACAGAAATACATAAAATCTGAAAGAAATTGAGAAAATAGCTCAGCACTAGGATCCTTCGATCTATCGACCACACATAATATACATACAGATATTGATCACATTTAATCTGAAGAAGGATCCGCCAAAACTGTTCTCGGAGGTTCCCCATCGTAGATTGAATCTCTAAAATTTTAGCGGTTACTGATTGAACTTCATCACTCGATCACCGGGCGCAAATTTTTCCCTCTTCACAGATATTTTAAGCTCGAGAGAATTTTTTTTTGAATTCAAGTTCTATTCCTGCAATAGCTAGACTAATTCATTCAAAGTCCAGAAGTACTATAGGCTTATCCTATGCACTTTGTTAATTCCCGCATGCTCTCATCCATTTACTTCCTTATCATCAGGCTTTTAACGTTGGTCTGAGGCAAAAATTCGCCCGCATAACACTTGCATACTAGCCATCTGTTTCCTCATGCAAAGTGCATCCGTGCCAATTCTTTCAACCTAACATTATTAGCCAAATCACATTCCCTGTACATCTTACACCTAATTTTATTTTTACAAGTTAAGTTCAGTTGCAACATTTATTCGTTGAACGAAATTATTGCAGATGGTCAAAAGGTCAAAAATCCATACTTCACTTTTCCTGATAGACGACGCACTTGGAAGTGGCCCAATCGTCAACAGCAACTATTCGCTGTAGAAGTTGACGGCAATTTCGTCTG